GGTGCCTTTTATGTTTCACATTCCTTTCATTTCTATTCTAAACTCATGCAGATGCATAAGTTTCATCTTCTTCATTCCTCTTTAGCTTTATTTACTCGTAGTAATAGTGTTATAGTATTGGTGGTTATCTGTTATATTCAGCATAACTTTAAACTGCTTAAGCAGAAAGTCTTTGAAGTTTTTACCTGATTAATTATATTATGTTTAAGTAAGAATAAAGTAGAAGTTTGTTGATAAAAAATATTTGAACTTAAAGCTTAAAGTTTTATCTTATAAAGACAAATTTTAAATGAGGAACTTGTCTATATAGATGCTGATTTTTTTTTTTACTCCCCCACCCCTTGATTGTGTTTTTTTAAACCTTTTTATTATGACAAGTGTTTTGGGAGGTGTTTTTGCCTTTGCATTAAATTAAAAAAATATTCTGTATTAACTGAAGTGTTATTAAAAATTGTTCAAAATAAAAAATATATCAAATGGACTGTGTATTTTGATTGACTTTACAGTTTATTTGGGCAAATGAAGCGCAGTGTGCTCACCTGAAAGGAACTCTGTGTAACATTTGATTCGGCTAAATTTGAAATACATTCAATTAACTTTCAGATCAATTTACAGACGTGCTGCAGATAGATGCCCCATGAAGACTGCAGCTCTTGAAGAACTTGCATAACTTTAGAGGGTCGGATTCATCACTGACTGAGTCGTGACACAAAGTGCTGCTTTACAACAGTCTGAACTCACCTTAAACATCAGACCTAACTAAGCTAAAGGTTGTTGTTTGCAACCAAAAGTTACCTGGTCAGGCAGATTATTGCTGCTGTGATGTAGGATCTATTTCAGCAACTCTAATCAGCTGCTCACTAGTAAGGCCCACACCAAAACTTCATATGAGGTTAAAGGTTTATTGACTGAATGGAAGATGAAGGAATGAAAGGATAAAGGAAGCAGGAATCAGGGGGGTGAGGAATGAACCAAGGAGGGGAGGAAGTGATGAGTTATAGAGGAAAAGATGAAGGGATTAGGGGATGAGGGGAGGAAGGAAAGAAGGGAGAAGGGGAGGGGGATAGAGGGATGAACGGAAGAGGGAGGAAGGGATGTAGGATGGAGCGATAATGTGATAAGGGATGAAGGGAGGAGCAGATTAGGGATGAATGAGGAAGGGATGAGAGGATTAAAGAAGGGAGGGTTAGAGGATGACGGGATGAGGACAGGAAGGGATAAGGGATGAGGGATCGAGGAAGGAATGACAAAATTAGGGAAGAAGGGTTGAGGGATAAAGGGATGAAGCACTGAGGGATGAAAGGGTAGGGGGGTTGGAAGGCGCCAATAGAGTAAACAGAAGGCATGATGTTTTGTGTGTGGGGGGGTGTGAAACTGGAGAATTTGGTTCTGGTTAATTTTTATGGGGTTCCATTAGTGCCAAAAATATGTTTATGTGTCTTCTGGTGTGTCCATGTGTCTTCTGGTGTGTCCATTTGTAAGTGCCAGTCCATCTTTCTGGACTGGCACTTACAAATCTGTAAAGACAGTTGAAGCATTACCATGGACAGGCTGTATAAGCAGAGGAGACGACAGGTATAACAGCAGAGGAGACGACAGGGGAGAATGACAGGTATAACAGCAGAGGAGACGACAGGGGAGAATGACAGGTATAACAGCAGAGGGAGACGACAGGGGAGAACAGGTATAACAGCAGAGGAGACAACAGAGGAGAACGACAGGTTTTAACAACAGACGAGAAAACAGGTTGTAACGCCAGGTTGTACCAGCAGAGGGAGATGACGGGACAACGACAGGTATAACAGCAGAGGGAGATGACAGGGGAGAACGACAGGCTGTAACAGCAAAGGAAACGACAGCAAAACGTGATCACATGCTGACAGGTTCAACAACATTGTCAAACAACATAAAGTGAAGAATAATGCAATGCACGTCATCCCTCATGTAGACACGATACATATGCTCACAGCATATAGACACAACATATGCATCTGACATATAGACTTTAAACCACTACATATACAGCTTCCATTACATAAGCACGATACATGGTCACCTTACATAGACACATGGACACACCAGAAGACACATGGACACACCAGAAGACACATAAACATATTTTTGGCACTAATGGAACCCCATAAAATTTCCCCTTACTGCAGTTAATTGTGAGGAGTACAATGGCATCAAATTTCATGAAGTACTTTTCCAGACCTACAGCTTCTGCTCTGGCATCACTGGTTAGGCAGCATGTACGAAGTGTTTTACCAAGGGCCTAAGTGACACTTGGTAAGTGTTTGGCTATGGGCTTCACTGCATCAATTCTCGCACTCCAGCGAGTGTCAGACAAGCTGTGGACAGAGCAGCCAGTAGCTTTCCTATATATGGCCCATCTTTCTGGACTGGCACTTGCAAATTTGTAAAGACAGTCTATAAAGCCAAAAAAGTTGACACTACTTCACTTGATCCTGCAGCATTTACCCCAGTGACATTCAAAGTGTGAGAAGCACAAGGTGAAAACGTGGCCAGATTGTTGGTGTTTAGTATTTGGGCTTGTGCACCTTTAACTTTCCCAGACATATTTGCACCATTTTCGTAGCCTTGTTCCCTGCAATCACTGATATCTATGCCTAGTTCCTTAAGGATTGTTGGGATCCTCAGGCTTGCCCACCAGAGGGCGCAGAGAATCCTCTTCTGCTCTCTTTTGTCTCTTTCTCTTAGGGCTGGAGTCACTGTCAGGTTCTGGAGATTACCCTCTGCCTCCAGCAGAGTGCGCCGTGGGTCCTCCTGAGCTGAGCCTC